GTTGAGGGTTCAGCCTCCTGATGAGTCGGTGAAACTCCGACGAAACAGTTTGTCACAGCCCCTCGTTTGTTGTCCTCTTCTCTCTCTCTGCCTACGGTTCACCGGGCAGTTCTGTTTGTGACGATATATATATATACAGGGTTGCCAGGCCGAACGTACGGAGACCCCTAAGCTGACCCCCGAACGTTCGGGCGTTCGGGTCCCCGTACAGGGCCCGAATCTGAAGGGGTTCGGACCCCGCAAATAAATATTTTGGCACCTAAATATTGTTATTTTTTTCTGAATTTTTTTCTGTGAGTTCTTTGTGATGTAAGGTATCTCCCTCTTAATTTTGAAGCCATTCGGTTCAGCCAAAACAAAATGAAAAATCGGCAAAGATGGTGGTGTCAAAACTTGCTTGCCCTGCAATGAACCCAGATAGTGAAGACACTTGTCAACAATGCAAGTCCAGATGAATATCAACCTGCTGATGATTATCAATAATCATAATCGTGTCCAGATAGAATGAGATGGGAGAATCATACACAGACGAGAGAGGGAGGAGGGAGATTAGACTTAGATGAAGAATAAAGACAAATGCCCACTTCTGCTCCGGGCTCCGTCCTCGATCACCACCTCAAATAATCAATAGTCTGAAGACTCTGAACGTATATCTGAAGTTCTATTACAATGTGCCACGTGGCACGTCAATCAGTCCTCATCAGCGCACTGGAGCAATGTCGACCTCAAGATAACCAGGTACATGTCCACGATTACCCCACAATCATGATCTCCTCCTGATTGACGATGAATCAGAACAGTAGTGCCAGTCACGTAACGCAGCCACGGCAGCGGCCACGTCAGCAGCAACGCATGGCAGCTGCCACGTTAGCATGCGCAGAAGACAATAGCAAGCCAGCCACCATGCTGAGCCAGCATCGCGTTGTCGTAATCACCCAAGTGCCAGCACAAAGCCAACGTCCAACCAGCATCGCAGCGTCGAGCCAGCGTCGTCGTCAACGCGTGAAGTCAGCATTGATGCAAGACTGAATGAATGTCAAAGTCAGGAAGTCAGCGCTTATGTAGCGTTGACGCACGGTCTGGACCCCGGATGCTACATCCCTCGGCCGTCAAGATCTTAGTGCAAATGACGGCCCAGATTGGCCTGAAACCGAATTCCCTCTGGCCTTGATGCAGGTGCACTACGGCCCAGATTGGCCGGAAACCGAATTCCCTCTGGCCTTGATGCTGTCTGGGTACCTGCGCACAACAAGTGAGTGTATCCGACCAAGGGCCTGGGCGCGGTACCTTTGACCTGACAGTTGACTTAGACTTTTGACTTTCCTAGGGCGGTGCGTGGTCACACTGCCTGGTGCAGGCGGAGTTTGGCCTGCATCGTCTGGGCTCTGTTTCGAGGGCCCAGACTGCTGCAGAACACGGGTTACTGCAGCCCACTCACTAATTTGTTTTTTCTCTCTTTTCACTTTTTGTTTTTCCTTTATTTCAGGGCATGAAAAAAAAATATATTTTTTCAAACTTTATTTGTATATTGAACTATATTCTCTATTATGTAAGATACACATATATAAATTTTCATGGCATTTGTCACAGCCAAAACAAAATGAAAAAGCACCAAAGATGGCGGTGTCCAAAACGTGCTCGCCCACTCAATAATTTCATTCTCGTTTTATTTTTTCTAATTTTGATTATTATTATTTATTTTTAGTATTTGATTTTTATTTCAAATTTGGTAAAGAATTTGGATGTAACGTTGAGGCAAATGTTGTTTAGTTTCTTATTCTGTATAACATATATTTTTTTCAGATCTTTTGGAATTCTTTTTTTTTTTCCTTTTTTTTTTCTTTTTTTTCGGGTCCGCGTTCGGCCGTTCGGCCGAACGCATCGAGAGGGGGTGCCGATTCGGGTTCGGGCAACCTGTGTATATATATATATCGTCACAAACAGAACTGCCCGGTAAACCGTAGGCAGAGAGAGAGAAGAGGACAACAAACGAGGGGCCGTGACAAATGTATATATCGTATATATCGTATATATCGTCACAACAGTTTGTCACAGCCCCTCGTTTGTTGTCCTCTTCTCTCTCTCTGCCTACGGTTTACCGGGCAGTTCTGTTTGTGATGTATATATATCGTCACAAACAGAACTGCCCGGTAAACCGTAGGCAGAGAGAGAGAAGAGGACAACAAACGAGGGGCTGTGACGAACTGTTTCGTCGGATATGTATATATGTCTATTTGACGATATATATTTACCGGGCAGTTCTGTTTGTGACGATATATAAAAGCTGTTTATAATGTCAATGAATTGCAAGAAATATATCATCAAAAAGAGCTGCACGGTCCCCCACCAATCTCTGTGGTCTGACCGCAACTAATATCTGTCTTCACATTCTCCACGGCCTGTTTTATACACCGTCAGACTTCCTTGTGATCGCCCTTCGGCTCGATGCTGATCTTCCGCGCGTACAGCCAGATGATTGTAATTACAGCAGGGAAAAAAAGAGGCTTTACCATTCTGTCCTACAAGCAGTAATGGGGGACCACCTACTTTAACTGCACAATTCTCGAGCAGGTGAGTGGTTTAGTCCTCCATCACACATCTCTGCCTGCATTGTACATGAACCTGGCCATTAGATCGTCATTGTACATGCCTCTGACTACTGGGAGCTGTGGGACAACGGCATCATGGTCCATGCCATGACTGATGTTAGTGATTTCTTGCATGATGATGCTCTTTTCTTGCCACACCAAGCCATCCGCAATCTCTTTTATGCCGAAGATCATTCCGCTGGCTCCGTGCTGCATCAGGACATCGTACCACACTCTGCAGCCTTCTCCTTTGCACAGCTACAAACACTTTTACACTTGGCTGCAGCTTCCATCGTCTCTGTTAATATCACTACAATGACATGATTTCTGCATCCATGTGTGTAGAGGACTGTCCCTCCGTTCCCACTCCAGGCACCTTCTATGTATATATTTTATATATCTATATAGTATATATAATTATTATAATATATATGTATGGAATTTGAGCAAACCATAACCGAAGGAAATGCTTTACTTTTCCACTAGACTCTAGAGTTCATAGTCTTACTCTAGGGTCTAAACCCTAACCCTAATGACTGAACTTTTACATAGGTTAGTTCCACTGTGTGCTTTGTGGAAAAGAGCTGATTAAAATAAAAGGTAAAAAAAGTTTAAAAAACCCATAATGAAATTGGGGATTTTTGCTGTCAGCAGCTCTGTTCTTGCCATGATGGTTTCAACTTTCCGGTGGTTTGCCTTTCTGTATTTTTCCTTTGATCACTGAGGTTATTACCGAAACATTTTCTAAAAAGAAGATTCGCTGTCTGATGTTCTCTTTAGAGTCCAGACACCCTATGGTGAATAGCAAGCTCTTTCTCTTTTAGTCGGTGCCGTTATGGGACACGTGTCATGTATGCATCCTGCATTGCGCTGTGTCCATGTCTTTTCTAGCAGTGTCGGGGCGTTGTTTTTATGTTTGGCCTTCTTCTGTTGTTTGTCTTTTGTTGTGTGGTGTTACGTATGCGGTGCTTGCTGCTTGTGCAGATTCCTCCAAGCCGGTCTTCGTATGTGTTTGTCATAAAGGCGTGTGGAAATGCTCGCAACTCAAAAAAGGCCCGTGAAATATTTCAGCGGATGAAGGATGATGGCGTACCTCTAGACTCCGTTAGTTTCAATGCTCTCATGGCTGCTTACAGAAACGAACGGCTGTACGGTAAAGCGCTTGAGGTGTTTGAGGAAATGAAGGCAGCTGGTGTCTACCCAGATAGAGCATCGCACGATATCATGCTCAGCTGCTTGATTAAGCTGGGAAGGGCGGAGGAGGCGATTCAACTTTTTGAGGAGTCTCTGAAGAAAGGACAAACAGGCTCGTTGTCGACGCTGAAACCGGGCGGCCATACCTTCAATACAATTATGCATGCCTACGCCATGGAGGGCAGATGGAAGAAGGCGATGGATATTCTCACGCAGATGGAGAGCGCAGGGATTCTGCCAAATGTTGTGACCTACAACATACTGATCAATGCGTTCGCCGTTGCTGGGATGTTCAAGCAAGCGGAGGAGATTTTTGGTCGAATGGAACGATCGGGGATGCACCCCGATGTTGTTTCGTATTCGACGTTGATGAATGCGTATGCAAAGGCAGGAAAAGCCGACGAGGTGCGGGCGCTTGTCCCGGCCATGGTAAAGCGAGGAGTCAAGCCGAACGTCGTTGTTTTCAATGCCGTTTTGGATGCGTATTCGCAGGTTGGACGCGTTGAAGACGCGTTCGGATGGGCGGATGAGATGGAGGTTCGGGGAGTTGCGCTGAATGTCGTGTCGTACACGACGCTCATCAAGGCTTGTCATAGGGGTGGCCAACCGGAGAAAGCAGAGGAAGTTTTGACGCGGCTGCGCACACACGGCGTCAAACCGAACGAGCATGTATATAATTCTTTAATTCTTTTGTATATGAAGTATGGGATGTCAAACAAGGCAGTAGAGATGATTCGCGAGATGAAGAATTCGGGTCTTCATCCGGACATTGTTACATTTTCAACACTGATTGACCGGTGGGGGAAGGAAGGGAAACTCGCAGAAGCTCAGGAGGCGTTTTCCCAGATGGTTGAAGCAAGGGTGGGGATGAATGTGGAGGCATGCACTGCACTCATTGATGCTTACGCAAAGCAGGTACACAACCAGCCCATCTGGCCGAGCTCTCGAAGTGTGTGCGTCCATTTCGTGACCCCAATTCTATGTGTATCGTGCTCTATGGATGGCAAGGCAAGGATGCCATATAACATTTTTGGCCGAGAATAAACGAAAGAAGACAGGAAATGGCAGAAAGATAAGTAGTGGTACTAAGCAGGATGGAATGTGGTGGTTCATTCCATCCTTGTGTGTGTGTGTGTGTGTGTGTGTGTGTGTGTGTGTGTGTGTGTGTGTGTGTGTGTGTGTGTGCTGTCCAATGGTAAAGGAAGTTTAGAGTGTGAGTCCTTGCAATATGTGGTGTGCTTCAAGGTGGTGAAGCATAGAAAGAGAAGTACTTTGCACATGCTTTTTATGCGCATCTGTCCGAACTCAATGCACTTAGAAATGACCATAGCCAAAGTGAGATGTAAGCTAAACACCCTTTTATGCGCATCTGTTCAAACTCAATGCGCTTAGAAATGACCATAGCCAAAGTCAGATGTTTGATTTTAAAAAAAAGCTAAACACCAGCAAGACCTCTTAAATTCGTGTGACAAATATCATGAAGCTTCTTCTTCGAAGCTTCTTCTTCTTCTTCTTCTTCTTCTTCTCCTGCTTCTCCTTCTCCTTCTTCTTCTTCTTCTTCTTCTCCTTCTCCTTCTTCTTCTTCTTCTTTTTCTTCTTCCTCTTCCTCTTCCTCTTCCTCTTCCTCCTCATCTTCTTCTTCTTCTTCTTCTTCTTCTTCTTCTTCTTCTTCTTGACTCCGGTACATTTGCTCCCCATCACCCTCATTTACATTTCTTGCCCTGTTCATCGTAGGCACCATCACACAAATGGCAGTACATCAGTTGGAGGTCTCATACTCATGGACAAAGATATGAACAAGATTTGCAGGCTGCATTCCTCGTTGGGGGTGCTGCAACCGTGCATAACCGCTAAAATACGTGAAGTTGTTCGGAATACACTTGGGGTCCTTGGGGATTTTTTTTTTTTTTTTTTTATAA